TACCTGGTAGCTTCCATTTGTATTCAAATCCGTCCCTGTGCCCGTTCTTCTATTTGCTCCTTGTCTATTCTGATAGAAATCAATAGTTTCCCTCATTTTGCTCCTGCATTTAGAAAAGCGAACCAAGTCTCCAGGTTCCACGCTCCGTTGACACACAGGGGTCAGCCTCTTGGAGAAGTTGGTCCTCAGGGCAGGACTGAGTTAAGAGAATGTTTTCCTCTTAATTGATTTGATCCTGTTACGTAGACTCTCTCGTTCCACGTCCCACCTGGGGACGTGGAGGGTTCCACAGTCCTGCGAACAATGACATTTTTCTTGATTGCCTGAGAGAGAAGGAGCTACAAGGCATGGGGCGCAGGCAGTGTGAGGCCAGCAACCCAAGTCACCTCTTCAAATAGCCGAAAGAAACTGTCCGGGAGCCGATAAATGAGCTTTGTATCCTGACAAGGGCAGCGCCCTTTTCTGCAGTTTTCCTTGGAAATTGGAAAAATGAGCCTCACAGTTGAAGATCTAGCATGTTCATTTTGCTTTCTAAGTGAGAAAGGAGGTGTTTCATGGTATCGCTGTTACTGCTGAATATTTGTGCCAAAGAGGTAAGAGTATAACAGGCAGGATGATATTCTGTGTGATGAATTTCTCCTTCCCTTGCTACAGAAAGTTCAAAAATAAGGTTTTCACCTGCAGTTCCTGTAGAATGTCAAACTACTCTTTGCAAGTGAGTAGAAACAACCGTGCAACGGAAGACCAGAGGATTATAATGATGCTTCTAAAATCTGGGACAGTGTCTAGAACCAAAGGATGCATCTTCTTCCTCTTGGGAGCCGTCTGTACTGATCCATGGTGCTCTCTGGGGCCACTTGCCTCTCTGGGCTCTTGACCAATGGGCGTTGGAGGTGGGGCACATTCAGGATTTGGTCTTAGTTCTCCCTTTGCCAGAGGTTTTTGGGTGACTTTGGGGATGTCACTCATTTAGTCTGTGTCTTTCTTTTCCCCACCTAAAATACAGGAGGGAGGCACACCCATGTATACAGGTAAGACTTGAAATAGAGGCGTCTCAACTCTTAAGGAAAAAACAAAACAAAATTAATCTATTAAATGACAGTGTATCATTGCTATTTGTTGCAGGAAAAAGTAGTGTTGGAAACAAGATTGAAAAGGAGGTCATTTGGGGCCCGACTGTGGCTCACATTGTACTTCGTGTTATGTACTGATTCAATTACTTAGCTGGCTATCGTTTCTCCATCTCAGATTTGTTCAGTGTCAACATTTCCCTGGGAACTGTACTTTGCATGGCTGCGTTGATTCATCTTTGGCCTGATTTATCAGCCCTGGTGGATGCAAAGTGAACCTCTGTGTGAAATCAAAAACAATTTATAACCTGCCCTATCAGCAAATATCCAGAACATTAGTTGCAGGAAATGAGTTAGTTGGTCCCATTCCTTGCCTCTGGTGGAAGGAGCTAAAACAGGGCAGGTTATTTTCACCATAGACACCTTCTCCTTAACTTTGGGAACCAAGAAATATATTGACCTGTTTCCTAGCTTTGATGGCACAAAGAAATAGGACACAAACAGTCTGCAGTCAACTGGTGGAGAGTGACGCTGGCCTTTATCTGCTGGGCAAATAGAATCTCTCTTCCCTGTTCCATCTTCACATGAGAAACTTCAGCTTGAGAGCCCCTAGACATAGAGATTCCTCTCTTTATATATCTTCAACTTCTTCTGTAAGCTGTCTTATCCTCTGAGAAGCCTTTATATTAAGAATCATGATTGCAACTTGGACTCACATCATTTATTTTACCAATTGGACCATTTGATAATTCAGAGCTGGACTCTGGAGCTAGATGACCCAAATCCAACTATTTCTCCACCTCAGGGATGTCATGTCCTTGCTCTGGGACTTGGTTTCCTTATTTGCAAATGGAGTTAATAATAGGACCTGATATTAAGTTGTTGGGAACATTAAATCTGATAACTCCTGTAACGTGCTGAGTGGTGCCTCATGAAGACATACCAGGCATTTGCCTTTTTCCATTTTCTTTTTAATGAGGACATAGGCATCTTAGAGATATCAAGTTATTTGTTAAAACAAGAAATAAGTATTATTCGACGCCTACCTTGCAAACTCTGCTAGCCAAAACCTCTCCTGCACTTGACCTTTATGAGAAGGAGACAGGTGAGGAAAAATGCCAACATTAAGAATGTAGTCAAGACTCTATTTTAAGGCAGAATCTAGAGTCACCACTCATTTTCCCTCAATGGTATAGTTTTGATCCCTGGGCAGATGATAGATGTTCAGAGAGTAGTATCAAGACCCTGTCACTGTCATTATCACACGTCAGTATTCATCATTACACATTGTATAGCAATATCACACCATTCCCCATAAACACGTGTAATTATTATGTGCCAAATAAAAATAATAATAGGCTGGGCCTGGTGGCTCATGCCTATAATCCCAGCACTTTGGGAGGCCAAGATGGAAGGATCACTTGAGGCCAGGAGTTACAGAGCAGCTTGAGCAACATAGTGACACCCTCTTCTCCTCAAAAAATTTTAAGAAATTAGCCAGGTGTGGTGGTGTCTGCCTGTAGTCCCAGCTCCTTGGGAGGTTGAGGCAGGAGGATTGCTTGAGTCTGGGAGTTTGAAGTTACAGTGAGCTATGATCAGGCCATTGCACTCCAGCCTGGGTGACAGAGTAAGACCCTATCTCTGAAAAAATAAATAAAAAAAAAAAAAAGAAAAAAATATATCAGTATGAACTTATGATGTATTTTAACTTAAAATGTAAATACCCTAGCGCAGTGACCAACCCAGTAACAATACGCACCCCTAGCACTCAGATTTTTGTTTCTAAATACTATTTTCCACGGAAGGACACCACTGGGAAAGTGGCCAATTCAAGGTGTAGGGCTGGAAACAAACAAGATGAGTTTCCCTAGAGTGTCTTGCGGTAGAAAAGGACAAAGCAGTTACCAAAGACTATAGGTTACAAAGTTATCGGTCAAAAGGACTCAGAGCCAACCTGAAAAGTACCAGCTGGCCAGAGGTGGAACAGTTCAAGCATCAATGAGCATACTAAAGGATAAGGGATTGAAACACATAAAATCAATGAGTTTTGTAATAATACATTCATGAATTTATTACAAAATATTGAAAAAAAGCCTTATTGGTAGCCTTTGGACTATGCTAGGGAACCAACTAATTGTTTTGAAAACCTACATGAGGGGGAAAAACCAAGCATTGACTGTATGCTACCTTTATGTCAGCGTTCTCTCAGGCTAACCAAATAGTTGATGAGTGAGCGTTCTCTTTTTGACATTGTTCCAGGTAGTAAATGAAGGAGGAATAGTAGAATTGGAAATATCCCTGTATCGAAAACGCTAATGAACTAACAGATCCAGGCAATGATGATCCATACCTGCTAATGTTACAAAAAGAGACAATAGGAAATTTCTATTTCCTGAAGAAAGTACTCACATCACCTGTTAAGTAGCCTTGAAAAAATAAATGAAATCTACGTCTGTCTCTAGATTTAACTACCGTTTTTCAGCAAATATGGGAGAGGGTATAAGCCTGTTAAATGACACCACGGGAATGTCATCAACAAGACCCAGACTGTGGGGATCTGTAACAAAATACCTAGTTTTTTCAACCAAAAATGGAATGCAATAAAATAATAAGGTAGAAAGGGAACCTCTGCATTAAAAGACTCAAGAGCCACATTAACAAATCATGATATATGGCTCTTCCTTGTGTTATGAGAAAAAAAAAAGAATTTTAAAAAAAGTATTATAGGATAATCAGTGAAATGCGAAGACAGACCAGACACCTGAAACTATTAAGGGTTAAAAAAAATTTTGGGTATGATGATGGTCTTGTGGTGACATAAGAAAAGGGAATCCTATTGGAGAGAGTCGTTCTGAAGTATTTACAGATGAAATGGTACGATGTCTGGGGTTCACTTCAAAATAATCTAGGGAAAGGAGAACATTGGTAAGAGAATGGAAAAAATAAGATTGGTCATGAATTGAAGATTTTTGAAACTGGGTGATAGGTACGGGGGGGGTACCTTATTCTATTTTCTCTCTTTTCTACGTCTGACATTTCCCACAATGACAAGTTTAAAAAGTACGTAAAGTGATGTAGGTTTATGTAAACATTTCTGGAAATGACCTAACTGGGCTGTAACTAACAAGCTTTGCAAATCTATCCGCCCAGTAACGTTGAGACGTCGGTGGAGGCTCTGAGAGTAGATGGAAGCACTGCCCTGAGATCATAGAAGGAAACCACCCCGTGAGGAAGCGAACACCAGGCAGCATGGATGGCATTTTCAGTTTTCATTCTACTGCCAATGCGTGCATTTCCTGTCTTGTAGTCCTCCCAGCACCTTGTGGGGGCCTGACAGTGACAGTGACTGGTAGCTTTTTTTAAGTTTGGAGCCTGTGCCAACTTCTTTTCCTCCTCTAAGTCAGCTGTGGGGTGTAGGGACTACTGGGTGAAACTATTCTCTGGTTGGAGAGGAGAATTTTCCAGTATTGCCATAATGGTTTCACTTTCTACATTATGTTACATGTATATAATCTATCGTATTTATATGTTAGGTATATATGACATGCTTTTTATCATGCATATATAATAGGTCATTATGTCATGAAGACATACCAGGCATTTGCCTTTTTCCATTTTCTTTTTAATGAGGACATAGGCATCTTAGAGATATCAAGTTATTTGTTAAAACAAGAAATCAGTATTATTCGACGCCTACCTTGCAAACTCTGCTAGCCAAAACCTCTCCTGCACTTGACCTTTATGAGAAGGAGACAGGTGAGGAAAAATGCCAATATTAAGAATGTATGTTGTCACACATTCTACATACATGAATATATGTAGTCATATATATATATATATATATAAATATATATATATATATATATATATATATGGGTGTCCAGAAAGTATCCAGCCGTTGTATCCATGTATCCATTGTATCCATGGCTGGATACTTCCTGGACAGCCTCATATATTATATATGAGACTATACATAGTCTCATATTCCCTTATATGTCTATAGGGCTTGACAGTTCCCAACTGTTTTCTAATATATTCATTCATTCAGTGAGTGTTTATTAAATGCTTAAATAGCTGGCATTGCGTTAGATGATGAGGCTATGGTATGAAAAGACCAGATTCTAAGGCACGTGACCGTGTGGGGAGATGCCGACGCACCGGTGAAAAGACTAATTGCAGATTAGAGTTTGAAAAGTGCTCTGGGGAAAAAATTAAACGCAGCTCTGGTGATGACTAATGGACCAAGGCCCCGCTCTAAAAAGAGCAGACCTCTCAGAGCCTGTGACATCTAAGCTGTAACCTGAAGGGCGAGAAGGAGCCGCTGGTGATGGGAAGAGTGGAGAAGGGAAAAGCATTCCAGGCACAGGGAACAGCCAGTGCAAAGACGCTGAGAAAAAGCCGACTGTGGTGAGGAATGCGTGGAGGTCTATTGTGGTCAGAGTATAATGGGCAGGAGGGAGAGTGGCCTGAGGATTAGGAGCTGATCTGGCCTTCAGAACAACCATGGGGACCTGTTCTCATTGTTCCTCCCATTTCACAGATGGGACAACTGAGGCAGCCATCTCGTGTCATTGCTAGGAAGTCATGGACCAAGAGCTCCAGACTCCAGACTCCAGATCTGGTGTCCCTCCCAAGCAGATAAAATGAACTTGCTCCAGTCTTAGTCTCCTCTCGTCTCTCTCCTCTCACCAGCAGAGAGGCCAGCCCAAGCTGTGGTTGGTGTGACCGCAGCCGGGGACTTGCACCGGGCGGGGGGAGGCAGGATCCCATGTGCTCCTCGGATCGCCGTCAGGATTGCTTCACGGGTTTCTCCGTGGGAGTAGGAAATGTGGGCACAACTTTTCAATGTCTTAGAAGTGCCTGTGGGCACATGGCAGAATTCGATGGCGCATCCATCTGCCGCTCTCCCTCTGTCTCGCTGAGTAACCTGCCCTGTGACAGGAAGAGCCGGAGCCGCGGTATGTCATCGGAACAGAGTCCGTTAAGGCATGGCTCTGGTTCCGGTGGAGCGTCAGTTCGGAACACGGAGCCCCTTGCTCTGCCCCCGGGGGCTGCCAACTGTTGGCTCCCGCTCGCCCTGCCTCAGCGAGGAGAGGCGCCACGAGAAGCCTTCTGGAGGAATTTTCCTGCTGGCAGAAACTGTCATGCTGAACTCGAGACAGGTCGCAGACTGGGAGACATTTAATATTATCACTGGGGGAGGACCCTTGCTTTGTTGAAGAGGAGGAAAAGGAGGAGGAAGTAAAGCAAGAGGAGGAGGAGAAAGAGAAGGAAGAGGAAGAGGAGGAAGAGGAGGAGGAAGAGGAAGAGGAAGACTAAGGAGCAGACAGTGTACTACTAAGCACCTCCGTGCTCACGTTAATCATCACGGAAACCCAGCAAGGCTAGGAATTGATCATCAGCTTTGATCATCTGCAAATGAGCAAACTGAGGCTAAGCAAGGTTGAGGCCCGGCCCGAGCTCACACAGGTAGGAGGAGGCTGAGCCAGGCCTCTGTAGCTCCATTTCCCTGAAGCACAGCTTCTCCTTGGTTGCTTTGAAAAGTGAGTGTCCCCAGCTTTCTAGCCCAAATCTCACTTAACTCCGACTCGTGCTGGACTCTGACAACCCGTTGCTGCTGCTTTGTTTTCAAGTTGCGCTTTGCTTATGCGGTAGCATCCTTGTGGTTTAGAAGTGCAATATCCAATTGCCTTTTTTTTTGCAAGTAAGAAAAGGCTCAGAAAGGGGACGAACGTGTCCAGACTCATCCAGCCAGTCGGCAGCAGAGCTGGCATCCACGTTCTAATTCCAAGTCCACTGCCTTCTTCTCAAACCGTAGCTGTCTTGTTCTCATCCAAGATATTTTCCTTCTTTACCTTTATTGTCAAGCTCCAGGGTCAACCTGGTGGAGAACGTTCCTTTGGGAATTGGAAAAGATTTTCAATTTGCTTGGCATTGAGACTGAGGCTAAGAGAGATTAGACCAAAGTCTACTCTCCTGGAAAAAACTAACCAACAGAATTGAAGCGTGTGTGTGTGTGTGTGTGTGTGTGTGTGTGCACGCACACACATGTGCATGCATGAGGGGGTGGGCACATTTATATATGTCCTACTTAAGATTTAGGGGCAGAGTTGCTTAGACGTGTGCAATGATTGCTTCAGCGCTGCCTTCAACTCTTAGCTTTGGCATGGGTGGTGTATCGTACACTAAACACCTTTACATTTTAACACGTGAGCCCCGATACACATAAGGAGCTGAACCATAGTATATGGCAGGTGGTATGTGATGCAATTATAATTTTAATTATAATTATTATTTCATTAAGGATGAGGCAAATAAATACTATTTCCTCAGTTTTACAGATTAAAAAGTTGGGACTTAAAAGGCTTAAATAGCTTCCTAAAATCGTCCCATTGGCAAATGACAGGCCCAGGATTCAAACCCAGGTCCGTTTAATTTTTGAAACCGGTGTCTTGCCCATGCCAGCTTCGCGGCGAGTGGGGCCAGGTAACGAGCTGGCGGGTGAGAGACTGAGCACCGCCATCAGTCAGGAAGCGGGGAGAGGCGGCTCTCTCTTCGTTGTTGGAAACAGAACCAAAATTATTTGGGGCCCTCCTGTTTCAGGTCTTGGATGAGCTTCCTTTGTAGCAGGGAGCCGAACATAAGCAGGATAGACTATTTGTGTTCCACTCATGTGGCAGCCTTTTCCTGGTGAGACTTGGTTCCCGGATCTCATTTGTCACCTGATGTGGCGTCAGCCTGGCCACCTGATGGATAGTGGCTTCTCCCCGGGGGATAAATCTACCAGTCGTGCCAGCTGAGTGGCCTCGGAGGACACATGCCATTTGTGAGGCTCCTTCAGGGTGGGAGCCTCCTGGCTCTGGTTCCATTACTGGAATTGGAGCCCTGACCCCCGTTTTTCTGTAACGCCGCTGATGGCATCAGTCATGTTAAAAAGAGAGCCCAGACTTGGCTCTAAATATTCATGGATGCTGGCTGCCCTCAGCACACCTGACCCTTTGAGTCAGTACAGGATCCTGGAGCCTGTGGCTTTCTGTTGGATTCTAAATACCAACTTTAAAGAGGAGGCTTGGGTTCCACTCTTATTGTTAATCAAAGGCTCAGCAGTACAGAGGAAGGAACATTTGACAAAGGATCAGAACGCCGGGACCTGGCAGTAACTTGTTTTGTTACATAGACTAGTTAGTGTCCTCCTTTGCACATGTGAGAGAGTTGGGTTATGTAAGTGTTTCCCAGAATACAGGGTGCGCATCACCTAAAGTAAATGAGATGCTTTTAGGTGGTGTTCTCTAGCCCTCGAGAACATGGACTCACAGAGTAGGCATGCCATGGTGTCTAGCTAGATTTTAATAATGCAGTTAGTTTGTTTTATTTTTCTGGTGATTATTTATGTAAATGACACAGGGCTTCCCATTTGTGGAAGCCGTATAATTTCCTTTGAAATAGGTTAATTACATTTTGAAAGGATAGTTGATTTATAGACTAATAATAAGTAATGGGAAATATCTGTGATTGGCGCTGAAGAGAAACCATGATGGCGGAGTTGTCTAGGTCTCCCTTTAATTCCATCATGTATTTCGAGGTTCTATTATTAAGTTCATACACATTTATGATTTCTCCATCTTTCTGATGAATTGATCCTTTTCTCATTATAAAATGCCCTTCTGGTAATAACTCCTTGTCTTGAAGTCTGTTTTATCTGATGCTCCTAAAGACACTCCAGCCTTCTAATGCCTAACTGGTTGGGCGGTATATCTTTTTTCACTAATTCGCTTTCAGTCTGTCTCTGTCTTTACATTTAAAGTGCATCTCTTGCAGTTAAAGAATAGTTGGTCTTGTTTTTTTTTTCCCTATCCATTCTAGTTATTTATAACTTTTAGTTCACTACCATGTGTTGATGTGTTTGGACCAGGTATTCCATTTTATCCTTGTTTTCCAAATTTCCCCTTGGTTTTTCATTTCTCTCTTCTCCCTTTCCTGCTGTATTAGTGTCTCTATTGCTGCTGTAACAAATTATCCCAAACTGAAGGGCTGTGGGTCCGAGGTCCTTTCACTCGCTGTCTGGGGGCTGGGGGCTGGTCTTTGCTGCTGGGGGCTGCCTGTGTTCTTGCGCATGCTTTCCTCATGGCCCCCGCCAGCAACGGCTGGTCAAGGTCATTCAAGGTCGTCTTGCACTGCGAATCTCTCCAACTTCTCCTCTGCCACGTCTCTCTGACTGCAGCTGGAGAAAGTTCTCTGCTTTTAGGGCACATGTGAGTAGACTCCATGGAATATTCCAGTGTAATCTCCCTATTTTAAACCCCACAACCTTGATTATGTTTGCAAGATGCCTTTTTTTCATGCAGCATTAGCACATCCACAGGTTCCAGGGATAAAGGTGTGGCCATCTTTGGGGGCCATTCTGCCATCACACCTACCTTCTTTTGGATTTCTATAATATTTTTGAGAACTCCATTTTAACTCATCAGCTTTTTACCTACGCTTCTTCACGCGACCATCTCAATAGATGCAGAAAAAGTACTTGATGAAATTCAGCACCTTTTCATGATAAAAATGCTCAGCAAACTAGTCATAGAAGGAATGTATCTCAACATAATAAAGGCCATTATACAACAAGTCCGTAGCTAACATCAGACTCAAGGGTGAGAACTGAAAGCTTTTCTTCTAAGATCAGGACCAAGACAAGGATGCTCAATCTTACCACTTCTATTCAACATGGTACTAGAAGTCCTAGCCAGAGCAATTAGGCAAGAAAAAGAAATAAAAGGCATTCGGATTGGAAAGGAATAAGTAAAATGATCTCTATTTGCATTTTAAAGTGGTTGCTCATTTTTAAAGGGATTGCATTAAATATCTTTAGCTTTTCACAGGCTACTTAGGGTTAATATTGTACCACTTCACATTACAATGTAGGAACCTTTTAGTGTATAGCCCATTACTACTTCTCACCATCCTTTATGCTATAGTGTTATATGCATTGTATCTACACATTAAAACCCCACATGGCAATGTAAGGATTTGTGCTTTACATAGTCATATGCAAAGGTATTTTTAAAAATTAAGATGAAAATTAGTTTTTTATGCTTGTCCATGTTACTTATGTTTCTAATGCTCTTTATTAATTTCTGAAGGAATCTGAATTGTCCTCTGGCATCAACTTAAAAAACTTCCTTTAGCATTTCTTGAAGTGCTGGTCTGCTGGACAGGAATTCTCTTAGTTTTCTTTTATCTGAAAAGTCTTTAATTTTCTTTCACTCTTGAAGGACATTTTCACCAAATATAGAATTTGGGGTTTTTTTCTTTCAACACTTTAAAGACATTATTCCACTGTCTTCTAAACTCTATAATTTCTAATGTTAGGTCTGTGAAAATTTTGAATCATTCTTTTCTATCTATAATGTGTTATTTTTCCCTTGCTAATTTTGAGATTTTCCTTTTCTTTTGATTTTCATCAGTTTGACTATGATGCACCTAGCATGGCTTTCCTCACATTTATCCTGTTTGGGATTCTCTGAGTTTCTTGAAATTATACATTTGCATATTTTACCAAATTTGTTTATGGCCATTATTCTTCAATATTTTTTTCCTACCCTCTTTGTTCTTTTTTGGGACTTTAATCACATGTATGTTAGACCTTGCCTTGTTAATTTTTAAAAGCTTCTCTGCTTGAGTCATTTCTATTGCTCTATCTTTAAGGTCTCTGGCTCTTGCCTATGTCATTTCCATCTTATATTGAATGTCTATTTGATAAATTCTTTATTTCAGATATTTTATTTCTCAGTTCCAAACTTCTATTTTATTTTTGTATTATTTGTTCTTCTGCTGGGATTTCCCATCTTTTTCTTTTTGATGAGCATATTTTCCTTTACCCCATTAAGTATATTGTTGTACTAGCTGCTTTTATATCTGGGTCTGTTGACTCTTTTTTCCTTGAGAATAGGTCACATATTCTTGTTGTTTATTAAAATATGTAAAGTGATTTTGAATTGTACTAGTACTCTGTGAATGGTATATTGTGGGATCTTTGTGTTATGTTATGTTTATTCAAAGAGTGTCATATTTGTATCTTAGCAGGTAATGAAACTGGCTAGACTTAAATTTCCAACTCTGCCTCTTGGATGGCAGCTCAGTTCTCAATTCTTTTTTGGGGATTAGATGCAAACTACTTCGAGCCTTATCCACTCATCTTTCATTCCAGGATTGGCCAGAGATTTGGGCAGAGTTTACATGTATATGCCAGAGACTTCCTTCTCTAAGTGTCTTTTCTCTCGGATTTTTGTTTCATACTCTGTTGGCCATGCATTCCCAGGTCTCCAACTTCCAGCTTCTCAAAGCAGAAAGATGTTGGTTCTCCTATTAGAGGTTAGGCTACCCAGTGCCATTCCTGGACAGCAGCATGCATGCCATCAGGCCTGGGTGGTAAAAATGCAGAACTCATGCAAAAGGTGAGCCTGTCATCCATGTTTCAA